AGTAACCTAGGGGGGGCAATTGCTACTGCACTACTGTGGTGATCTTCTTCCTATTGGAGAGGAAGCTGCACCTCCTGCATTGCAAATTGTGGACCTGCAGTGCAAAAATGTTTTGTCTTCTGTTTTATTCACTCTGCATTCCTGTACTTTATAAACCTCTCCTGCTGCTTCTTAAAGTAGTATTAAGGTCTGGCAGTTTTTTACCTTAATGCATTCTCTGCATTAGGGTAAAAACGGGCCAGCACCTTTTTTCTACCCCAGTCCCGTCCCCCCCCCCACACACACACACTTACCTGTCAGCGATGCTCTCCCTCGTCACCAGTCCCAAAGTGATCCTCCATTCCCTGAACTTCCGAGTTGCGGGGGAGAATACTGATGGCAGAGGAGCCACAGGCTTCTTCTGCCATCAATCAAAGAGGGAAGGGGTGTGGCCTGCCACCGGGCTGTGTGTCTATGGACGCACACAGCCACTGCGGGCGCGAGCGTGCACGGGTGCCTCCATTAGAACGATGGTGGCACCTGTGCAGGGGGTGGGGGAATAGCGCTGCAGGGACCCACTAGAAAATGAGGAATTAAACAGTTTTTAAAAAAAGCAGCAACAGCCTCCAGCAAAGGAGGGTCCACTTAAAGGAGAGATAAAAAAAATTGAGGCTTTAATATCACTTTAATATTAAACCATGAGTCCTCAGATCACCAGTCATCGGGGGGAAGCTCTGACAAAAGGAAGCAAAGCACTGCTACTCTACCAAGGTGGCTGCCTCTACAAAAATACACAGTATAAGGAAGATGTAGGAAGCTGGATCTCCTACAACAGTGAGTATTTTCCGTTAGGTCTCAATCAGCATGGATGGAATAATTACCCTTAGGCAGCTCTATTAGAAGTGGTGGCCACAGATCATCTCTTAACTCAATTAGGGGCTTGGTGTGCAAGGAGGAAAGTGCCAAAAGTTGATTTAATTTTATTCAGAATCTTGAATCATAAAAATCCAAAGCATTTTTGGGGTTCAATGTTTCCAAATTCAGTAGGGCTTAGGGCAATGCGTTTGGGTGCCATTCAAATGAATGGCAACGCAATGCAACTGCCACACTGTAACGCATGGCAGGTGAATTGCGCATGTGTCAATCGCACCAAACCATGCAAGTAGGTGTGACTGGGCCCTGAACCTTGCCGGGAAATAGGCATGGGTAGGGCCAGCTGGAATCAGGCGGACAGCATCCCCACCTAATCAGAGTGTGTGGCGTCCTCGTTCTGCCTGCTACATCTCTGCACTGTGTGGTGCTGTGAGTCATCACACCATCTGCAACCTGTGCACCCCAAATTTGGAGCTCTCCTCTGTGCAGCTATCCTACCCATTATCACGCTAAGGCCACAAGCTGTGCAAGCTCACTAAGGTGAATGTTTCTTCGTGCCACTCCTTCTAACTCACTGCCTGAGCCTCCAGTGAGAGCCTACCTCACTGGTGCTTGAGATTCGCCAGTGAGGCAGGCTGTCACTGGAGGCTCAGGCAGCGCAGGTGCAGGTGGACCTGCACAAAGCAGCATTTACCTTGGATGCCATGACAGCTGTGGAGGAGGACCATGAGCCTGGTTCCCCCTGTTGACACGATGGGTTCTAGGCCTGGTACAGCAGTGCTTGTGGTGGCCCTAGGCATAGAAGACGTGATGATGGAATGGATGACTTATGTTTATTCACTGCACTTGTCCGTTTTATCAGCTGTTTATCTTACCCATTCCCCTAATAAGTGGCACACACCAGTGTTCCGCCCCACTTATCCACCTTCCTTTTTTTCCTCTCCCTGGAACCCGTTCTGAACCACATCCCTTCAAACCTAAACATCCAAAAGATCATTATAAGATGGAAAGAACAAAAACTTTCACCCTTTCCGGATAGATTTGTTTTCCTTACTCATCTGTTCATTACTATTCCCAACCTAACCACAAGCTTTAAAGAAAATAAAGCCAAACCTTTTTTTTTTTTTTGCTTCAGTCCTTATTTGGGTCAAAGTAGAAAATGTACTAATGTACTCCTGTGAACCAAAGTCAGTATCGTACCTACTTATCCCAAATCTATACCACCTAAGTGTCTGCCCTGTTTTTACCACAGTTTTCTCTAACTGGACTAAACTGTTCTTTTCATAGTTTGACTCCTGTAAAATAATGTCCTGGCACCTGGGTGTCTATTTATCAATGCTTTCACTCAAGCTTAACAAATCTGACACCCAAGATTCACACATTTTTCTAATTGGATTCAATTGGAAAAGAATGTGAATTCTGAATAAAAGCTGCATGAATCTTTCTTGTGCAAAAAAAAAAAAAAATAGACCCCTGATCCAATATTAATATAAATTCATATAAAATGCACGTCCTCCTATAAAAGGAGTAGGAGTGGTTAGTGGGAGAAGGGAAGATGCAGCAACTTTTTTTCTTGGGGTTTTGGTTACATTTATTACCATTCTGTTCTGATAACACTAAATATACCACTGAATTACTCTAAAACACAATAATGTTCATAAGCAATGGCATGTCTTTATAAATGTTGAGCTCCATTTCATAAAGAAAAAACTCATTCACATTTTGAAAATCTTTAGGACAAACTAAAAACATTTTTCAGACATGTCTATTTTGTGTGCTGTTTGAATATGCATCATGCTTGGTGACACATACTGTATATGTATAGCATAAGAAGACCCAAAAAATGTAAGACTAGCATATCAAGAAAAATACCTCTCTGTTTAGTATTATGAAGGCCTGCTGATAACATTTTATGTTACAGCACAACCATACGAAGGGCTCATTCACACTGTTGCGCTAGATGCAAGGATCCATTAGTTTAGTGCATGCATTGTTGTTTTTTGGTGGGATTTGGTGCTGACAAGTCCCATATTTGAGTGTGAGTAAGGAACTACACTTTAGAGAGATCTCAATGCGGCATTGTGGCTTCCAATGTATTTGCAAATGTATGTAAGAATAACCTCTATTTTAAATGCGAGTAGTTAAGACAGTTTAATTAGTTTGTTTTTGCTGCTAGCTTGAAAGTGTGCTGGGGTACTTTTGTATAGATTTAAATGCTGTCTTTGTGTTTACTTGGGTAATTTCCCCTCCCTTCCATTTCTGTCTGATGCCTGTTAGATGGGAAAGGCTAATGGGAATCTGCATAGTGTGGACATTGATGGCAATAAATCCTAATGGAAGTTCCAACCCTTCCCCACTAAAACTAACTTTGGAATCTATGTACCAATTGGGCAGAATAACCCTTAACTTCCAATCCTGTTAAAATGGACAGGAAATGAGAAGAAATCTTCGCATTGGGAGCCATGGAGCAAACATGTGCTTTGGCAATCCAGGGCAAAACATCAGGTTTTTTTAACTGCTTGGTCCTGTTTGTATACTCCATCTAGAATGACTGAGAGTTTGTACAGGGCTACCTCTTCTCATTCCTGGCAGCTGAACAGGAAGCAAAAGAAAAGTTAGCTTGGTGCTGTTGGCGGACCAGACAATAACACCTACCTATTGCTTCATCCTGCATGGCCAAAGCACATCTTTTCTTTTAGTAGCAGTTGAGCTTTAAACTATTGTAGCTACTACTTTAATAATGATAAAATTACAAAAACAGACAACCTACATTTATTTAAAGAGAAGTTGGGCCAGCTGAGGAACTTTTAATTTTAGATGACTGACTTCAACTCAGAAAACCACTGTTAACTATCCTTGGCAGTTTTGACATTTCATGTTAGTCTTTTATGTTCGACTCAGGGTTTTTATTAAAATTTTCTGTTCTCTATAGGCAAAAACAATTCTCTGGGTTACTGGAGGGCAAAAGGCTTTGGAAATCAAAATATGCTTTCTATTCCAAAAGCAACAGCTGTCCATTATCCCGCTGCAGGTCTATGATTTAAGATTGTTATTTGTTACATGTCCTTGGCAAGCAGTTTTGTGATATTTTTGACAACTGAATTAATTAATGTTTGTCCTTTTAACAAAGTTCTGTCAATATTTTTTTAATTTATCATTTGACTTCTGTCCAAACAATCCCCCATTTAATCTTTGCTTATAGCCTCTTCTGTTTTTGTGGCTGCACACCATATGTTTTGTTTGACCGAAGTTTTAATGAATAAAATATGGTTATGGTATGTTACCCACTTGTAACCACAAGACAGTTAAAATTAAAGTGATATTATTTATTTACTAAATATTGATAGATTAAACATAGGAACTTCCTCAAATTTCAGGTGCCACTGTAAAGTTGAGCTAGACAATATTCATTTAAAAACTCTACATGTTTGTATGCGATGATGATGTTACATCTCTGGTACAGAGTGTACCCACCATTCTTCAGACTTCTTTTAGTTGCAAATGCATTACCTGTCCCTATTTTTAAATCCTTTTCTGTTTGAAAAATACATTTGTTTAATTTTTGTTTATTTTTTTTGTTGGATTTTTTTCCCCACTGTTAGATGTATACTAATCGGTTATGTTTGCATGTTACTGATTTACAAACATACAGATTGCTTCATCACTAAATTATTTCCTACATTTTACACTAAATATTTAGTGATAAATCAACAAGTAATTTAAATTTAAATATACATTTAATAAAGCCAACACTTTTTTAAATAAATTAATTTTTTAAGTGTGAATTTCTGGCTTACTATTGCAATCTTATTAAAAATCACTAATGGTGTAAATAATTATCATTATAAGTTTTAGATTTAAAGGTCAGTTCCAGCCATAAGTTCCAGGAAACATTACCAGCATTTGTGGACCTTTTCTATCTAAGTAACAAAAATTACCGCTTGTGATTTGAAAACTAGAACCGTAAAAATCATTGTACTGTTGGAAGGCCAAAATGATAGCGAAATACTGTCTCTTAATCAGAAAATAAATACCTTAATTTACATTACCTGTGTAGGTTTTCACTCCCATGGGTACGGTTTGGTGCTCTACAATCATTGTTGAATTCTGGTATGAACCCATAGTCCTTGTACAGAGCCTCTGCACCTTTAGCAATAATGGCAACTCCATTTTGGACTCTACGGTGCAGGTCATCTTTCCATCCAGCAGACAAAACTGTGAACAGGCCAACGGGCAAATGCTCAGGCATGTAATCTGTGCCACCCAGGTTGGTTCCCACCATAAACCATATGTAACCAGGCCCAGTCAAGCCAGCTTCTCGGGCAGCCTTGAAAACCCCATCTGCTTCATCCTTAGAACAGTATAGAAGACGCACTTGTACTGCTATCTCTGTCAATTGTCTCTTGAGTTTGGCACTACTGGGATCATCAGTCAGATTGAGGGTCAGGATACCTCGATTTTCCCAGCCAATGAAACTGCTGTCAGTAAGTAGCTCAATGTAATCCACAAAGTCTTCATAGCCCGGAAATAGAGTAGTAATAACCGCAAACGCTGTCCAATCATATTCCTCCAACACCTCAAAGATGACTTGAAGTTGCTGCTCTGTAGAGGCTCCCAGCTGCAGAAAGGTTGAACCTTTTTCCTGTGAAAAAATAATATAATAGGTAAAAACAATACCAATGCATAAAAGGAGGTCGTACTATAAGTTTTAATCTAACCTTAAGTAGCTAGAAGGACATTAGTAATAGAAATGTACCAATTAAATAGTAATAATAATGTACCAATGGAGTAATCAATAGACCTTTCTCTATGTACCTTTCTACCATATAATATCAATCTGTACAAGAGTAGTTTGTTTTATCAATGTCTAGAAATACGAAAAAGCTAAACATTAATTTAAAGAATTAGTAAATCTAAGAAGACGATTTACAGAGCAGTGCCGTCAGCCTAGGCTGTTTGCTCCTAATTTGGACTACAGTACCCCCCCCCCATTTCCTAATTTCCATTATATAGGGGGGGAGGTGTTCTGTAATTCACAGAAGTTGCCTGAGCAAGACTGATACAACTCGATTTCAGTGCAGCACAGATACTGTGTAGACATCTCACTACAGGGAGTTACAAACTCATTTGATTTCTGGCAGGATAAACAGGTATGTTTCCACTTATTAAACAGATATAACAAATTTTTTTCAATGATCTCGTAATAGACCAAAAGGGGCAGTTGAGAAAAGTCCATTGTTAGGGTTTTTACACACACTAAAAAAAGTACTGAAGCCACTAGACATGTAAGCCGGCAAAAAATTTGTTTTGGGATTCGGGTCCGAATGTCAATTTGTAAATTGTTTGTTCATTTCAAATGAGTTAAACTATAATTAGGAACAACATTTTTTCATGTGACATTAAGTGTTTACATTTTTTCCTGGAGTCCTGACGTCTGCAGACCCAATGAAGAAAAGAACAATTCCTGCCGCTCGCCTCCCGATGGAATGTTTACATTGGGCAGTGGGTGAGAAATAAACAAAGCCTGCTATTGGCTATTTCAAATTGAAAACATTTCGGATACATCTCATTTTTGTTATCAAACATTCTTATATGTTCGGATTCGTTATTTCTGTCATTCGGAAATTTGGATGCATCAGAATGTCCGAATACGCAGAAATTCACATAAATGTCAATTCGAAACTAAATGAATCACACATGTCTAGAAGCCACTGGATAAGCATAACAGCCAGTGAACAAGTATATGCAGAAAGTCTGCAACTGTTTAATGTACATTTTCTTTTTCCCCCACATAGTTTTTGTGTATTCTTTCATATTTTGAGATTTTTAGACAACAGAAAAGAAAAAAGGAAGGAAGCAGCAAAAGTTAACCATAGAACCCTATGCCGTTAGGCTACCGGCCTTTCCTGAAAGCTTCCTTTGACAATCAAAAATAAGAGAGAGGCAGTCTTGAGGATGACATCCGCTGTCATAGATTAGAGATTGAGGTGCTCTGTTTGTGGCAGGTGTATATACATTTATACACATGTAAAGGTGCCCATACACCTATTGATTATCATTCAGAAATCGTCTGTATTACTTTACTCCTGCCCGAATTTCCTTGATAGGTAAAACATTGCAACATGAACACTGCACATGCCCAAATGAAAATCCGTTCTGTTGTTCGGCGAAATTCGGTGAGTTAGTATTGCTAACAAACGATAATCAAAATCAACGTTGGTCTGTGCATGATAAGTAATTCGAGCAGAAAACTAATGATGGTTCGATGAGGGCACGGAAGAAACGAACGATAATTCATAGGTGTATGACCAGCTTTATTGTTTAATTCTTTACAACATTTTAAAAACCATTTAAAATTTTAATTGTTTTCCTTGTAAGGCTGGCCCTGCATTGGTCAACCAAATACAGGAAGGTAATGCAAACTGGGTACTACCTTAGATAAGAAGGAAGTCTTGGGCCTAAATACTACCTTATCCCTATGTAAAAACAAAAAAAGAGTTACTTGCAAGATAAGGGCGCTAGATTAGACAATCGCCTCACAGAAGTGTTGGCTAAAAAGAATACTACCTAGTGGTTGAGAATAGAGAGAGGAATGCTTCTAAAGGGTTTAAAAATACAGTTTTCTAAAGCACAAAGAACACCATATTCAGATTCCATTAAGTCACTGGGGAACAAACGGGTGGAGCTACTGGTGGAAAACTCCCTGTACAAAACTTCAGTCAAGGAGAGAGATGCCAAAAGATAGAAAGTGATGTCCTGATAGTGCTCAGAGCCAAATGCTGATCCAGACTCCACCACCATCACTATTTTTTAAGTTTTTACAGATACATTTTAAATAATTTTCTTTTACATTATTTTTATTTTTTTTCCTCATAAGACTGTCCCTGCCCTGGTCAAGACAATACAGGCTGAAACAGAAGGACTGTAAATAAAACGATTACAAGTATCCCTGGACTTTTGGGTGTCTAAGATGTATCACTGGCTGGAGGTGCCCCCAATATTGGCCTACCCTTCGCATATGACATGTCAGGGAAGGCCTTCGGTGCAACAGGGGAAATTTGTGATTTAGAATCTGACTTTAACCCCTGAAGGACCTATTTGCTGCCAAGGCCTTTTTTTTTTAGTTTTTTGCACACATAATCCACATTTTAGGCCTGAAAATTACTTCAAACCTCCAAATATTATATATTTTCTGAAAGCCAACACCCTGTAGAATTTAATGGCAGCAGTTACAATTTTTTTATGTTGCACGTTATTAGCACAGCTCATTATCAAACCCCAAATTTAGTGAAAAGAAACCAAGAAACGATATAATACCCATTTTTTTTAGTAAAATATAAAAGATGAGGTTACGATGAGTAAATAGATACCCGACATGCGCAGGTTACAAATTTTGAACCCCAAAAAGTCCATAGATTACGTTTTAAGAGCCCCTACAGGTCCTCAGTTTAGAGATACACATACATTTTGACCCTAGAAATGTGGCTCTCAATCTGGCGTGCATGGCAATATTAAACATGTGTAGCGGGATCATTGTTTTCGTATGTAGGTGCACCCGACGTGTGTTTACGTGAATACATGCCTGCTCGCGGGGACTTTTACAAAATTTACAATTATTTTTACATTTATTTTATTTAATATAATTTTTTGAAACTTTCTTCTTTTACTTTAACCCCTTGCCGTCCGCTTCCGGGTGCGTGGACGTACATCTACGTGATTTTTGTTCTGCAGTTGCGCATGAGAAGAATCCTGCCTGGAATGTGAACAGCAGTTACCTGCTGTTACATACAAGCGTTCGGCCAGCTCTACAGCCGGCTGATCGCTTGCAAGAGGATACACAGTGCTGCCCCCCCCTCTGCTGGTGCCCCCCTCTGCTGCCTCTGACAGTTATCCCGGGCACCGCGGGCCCGGGATGGAGAACACCGGCACAGCGGCTCTCTGTACTTGGAAGGAGGAGAGATCAGCATTCCCCCACCGCTGATCTCTCTTATTTCTCTCTACAAAGGCGGAAGCAATGTCTATTACATCACTTCCGTCTTTAGCTGTCATTTCTCTGGCTGCTAAAGCCGGAGAAGAAGCTGGTGAAGCAGATCTCTGCTTCATCAGCTTCTTTTGTATCTGCAGGTGACATTAGGGGTTTTAGGAATATTGGGCTTCAGATCAGATCCACCTGAAAAACTGGTAGGTGTACCAGATTGGACCACCTGTCTGAAAGAGACTATAGTGTATGCGTTTTCCTGCTACATTAATTCCTGGTGGCAGAATTCTTCAGCAGTAAAAACGGTAGTTAACATCTCACTTTATAGCACACAGGTGCTGGGACTAAGGCTGGGCACACACCTTACAACCATCGCAAGACTTTTGCGGTCGTATGCTCGCCCGAACTGCACGTCCGTGCAGGTGTGGGTGTCCCTGCTCAGACAGGATCCATCCTGTCTTCGTACGAGTACGGACACCCACACAGACGTGCAGTTCGGGTGAACGTATGGCCATGTACTCCCATAGAGAAAAACAGGCCGCTGCATGCAATCACACGCAGCACCTGTCCTTCCTGGGAGCGGCCCGATATGGCACGCAGCATGGATCTGTGCGGGACGGCTGTCAGTAGTGTGAATGAGGCCTTAAGGTGCCCATACACCTTAGGATTATCGGACCATCGTACAATTTTCGTACGACGGCCCCATCCTGCCCCGATTATCTCAAGGTTCAATCAGCGGTAGTTAGAAAAAAACACCTGGACGACTTGCGGTAATTGACCACAATTATTTTCGTATGCTCAGTGTTAATCGTACGGCTTTTGACAGATGGAAACGCCACCAACCATGCGAACATCATACAATCGACCAAAGTTTTCAAACATGCTTGACCGTCAAAAGTCGTACGATTGTACAGTACTATCGGTCGGGCACTACATTCACACGTTACGATTGTCGTACGAAAAGTCGACCGCATTATCGTACGACAGGGGCGCCCACAATTTTTCATCTGGAGATCTACTTTTCAAATGACGAGCTCATTGAGATCTACCAACAAAAAAACACCTGCATTCAGGGGCGGGAGCGGGCGTGGTGGTGCATTGAAATCAATGGCACCCCAGCCAGGCTCCGCAAGCAGGCCCCTCAACCTCAGTGCGATCGCCTGCATTAGTGCCTGTGTTCCAGTCCAGTGCGATCCGCAAAAATGCTGCGAGCACTATTTTTGCAGATCGCACTGAACCGGAATGCAGGCACTAATGACTTCAATACAGCCCCACGCCCCCTCCCGCACCTGAACGCAGGGATTTGGCGGCTTACATTCCAGTGCGCCCTGGCGTCCTATCCTCCCGTGGTGCTCGTGTGGCCGATGTTGCACATGGGGAGAGGTGTCCTGCTCCTTTCCATCTGCAGCGTCTGACCCATTAAGCCAGCAGCTGCACGAGCACCACGGGAGCATAGCCATAGCCAGCTGCTTTTGCGCCTGAGGCAAGAAAAAAAAACTTTTTTTCATTTATTTTTTACTATTTTTTTATTTTATTTTCATTATTGTAATTGGGGGGGGGCTTCGGGTAAATATTAGGGGTCTAAGCAGCCCCCTGATATTTCCCTTTTAAAAAAGAAAAAGAAATTGAGGACACAAAGTCCTCAATCTCTTTTTCTGCAGCCT